CTGGCCCCCGCCTCGGCCTTCACCTCGGTGTGTGCCAGCTGCTCTTTAGCAAACACCACCTTGGGCTCTGGGGACAGAGGGGAGGGACACACAGGTCAGGGACTCTGTCTATGGCAGGAAGCCACCTGGGGAAGGACCTCTGGCTGGACAGTTGAGTACAAAACCTTCTGTAGGCCACACTAGCTCGTGCCCTGGAGAAGCCCAGCACCCTTAGCACAAGGGACCACAGTGTGTGACACAGCCTGCCCCTGGTGCATTGGGCTGTTCCAGGTGGGAAGACTGTGACAGGCCCCAGCACTGGCTCCTCCAGGGAGGAACTGCAGAGCCTGATGCTGCACCTGCCCCTCATTGACCAGGAAGAGTCTCCCCAGGACCATGCTGGGTGTGTGTCTCCTGGCAGGTCCTGGGAGGGCCCAACTGCTGCCTGCTCTGAACTGTGGGCTGCTCCTCAGGGAGCCTAGGCCACGGTGGCTCCTGTGCCCACTGAGGCCGCACAAAGCCTAGCACCTGTGACAGTTACTGGTGCTTTAGGTGTCTGCTCAAATCTTCTGCCCACTTATCATGCAGCCCTTCTGTCTTCATTGGAGGTGCTTATGTGTGGGGGTGGTAGAGAGTTGGCTCTTATTTATTTTGTGATTTCTCATGTCTCCGTGCCCTGTTCTGTCTCACAGTTATCTTCCTAGGAGCCACGGATTCAATTATGTTGCATTCAAATAAACCTCTCTTGCCCCAGGGTTAGGGATGGAGTTGGGTAGGCACCTGCCCCCCCCATGTCTCCATCAACTGTGTAACACACAAGGTGTCTGTGGCTTCAGCTCATGAAGCCCTGACCCCCTGGAACATGTGGACCACACCCAGTGTCATTCCATCTTTCCACGCATTCAAATGGTCCAGTCACTATGAAAACATCATCTTTCTCTACCTCTCACACAAACGCAAGGCAGAAAAAAACAGGAGAGGGCTGGCAATGGCAGGCCTAGTTCTGAGTGCCAAGCAGTGGCTCTGTCTTGATCCCTGGCCTGTATGGAAGTGTCCTGTCCACCTCACAGCCTCTCAGTGCCTTTCTTTCTCCTCCAGTGTGTGGTTGCTGCACTTGTCCTTTGTCACCCACTGGCCCTGCCCCCAAATAACCTTTGTTTGGATTTTGATTATTAGTAAATGTCTTTGATTTTTTAAATTAATTTTTATTCATTTATTTAGCCCTGTTGACTGTCATAAAAAAAAACAACAATTATGCCCCCAAACCTTAAGATCCTTATTAAAGGTAGAACTAGGAACATGACCGGTTTGATGCGTTGTGAATTTTCTGAAGTTTCACTTCTGCTGTCACCTGTGCATGTAGGTAAAGACGTGTTTTCTGCCCATTGTCCTCTATGTGATGACTGTGCCCAGCCACACCTCCAACCCCGCAGTTCTGTTGGCTCCTCAACTGATGATAATCACCTGTGAACTCATTTCTACACTCTTACACCTATGCTGTCCACTTTCCTTTCCCCTTGCTCCTGAACAAAGGTGCTGGACAAAGTAGTGACAGTGACAGTGGCCTTCCAGTTGTCTCCGACAGGTGCCCTGGTGTTCTGCACCCATCCTCAGCTGAAGAAAGCTCCATTCAACCAGGCTATGTGCATCCGCTTATCTCTAGATTTATAATGTTGGACTTGGTCCAGCACATTAGCTGGGAAAGCTATGCTGGAGCTGGTGCTTCCAGGCTGCCCTCCTGCCTGCTGCTGAGGGGTTGGCCAGTGCTCCATGTCTATTCTCCAGAGTCTGGTGGCTGGTCTGTGCACTGACCCCCACTTTCCTTGTCAGGTTCTGGCCCTGTTGCCCCGTGCTCAGCTTAAAATGACTCACAGAGGCATCTCCTTGCTCCACTGGTGATGGCAATCTCCACATGTGTAGAATAATTGTTTCCATTAGTATCTCATATATTATACCAGAAAATTATCAGGCTTAGATCTGGTCACTAATTCTATTTATCTAGACGCCATAGGACGACTACAGATTTTTGTACTTTCTATGTCCATTTTCACTGTTTACTAGGAATAAGCCAAATGACCAAGCCTGTCAATCTGTCATTAGAGAGCACACTCCTGGAAGCCACAGGAATCAGAGCTGGCGCCACCTACAGGTTAGTTGGCCCTGCAGCGCACCCACCCTGGGACCCTAGAGAGAGGAAGATCACTGAGCTTCTCAGGCTTCTCCACCGAAGCCCACACACTCCAACCACAGAAGGAGGGTAGCTGCTTGGCCACTAATGCTCTGCAGAGCCTGCTTCTGTGGCAGAAGCTGCTTGCTGCTTCTTGTTTTTACATTTCTGCAGGGCAGCTCTGACCTAGTATGGCAATGAAAACTGTGGACAGCATCTGGCATAAGCACCATCAGCCTCAGTGCCAATACCTGGTTCCTCTAGAAACAAGCAACAATGAGGTCCCGTGATGTCACTGCACATAGGAAACAAGATAAAACAGCTCCAGGTGCATGGGAGGAAGGGTCCAAACCAAGAAATCGACCATTAACAGCACACTCCTGTAGCACCTTAGAGCATGACCTACAGCCAAACTTCCACCTCATTAAAGTTCCGTGATGTTCAAGTCTCCCTCTGACCAGAGCCAGGCGACACACATCCTGAGAGGAAGAACTCACACACTCAGGTGACAGACACCTTGGAACTCAGAAACCCAAGCACAGGCAGAGCCAGAGTCCCAGATTCCAAGGAGCACCAGGAAGGTGCTGGATGCTAGGAGGCATGGCCAAGGGTCACTCCATGAGACACCATGTGCACAGCCCTGGGTCCTCTCCCATCTGGCCCACTAGTGTTCCCAGCAAGCACTGGGAAAACGCAACATTGAGAAACTAGACAAAAGAAAGCCACAGACCCAGGCAAAAGATTTGCCAAGGTCAAATGCCCTATTCATTGTCACCTTCATGAAGGATAACTTGGAACTCAGAGGACTCACCTGTGACATCCAGATGGAAGGAGACTCTTTGGCCCCCAGCCTCCCAGCTGTACTCCCAGTGTCCGTCTTGCCCGCCTGCTGTACCACCAGCTGCCGCCTGCGGCCAGAGGACTCCACGCACACCCAGGAGCTCTGGCTCAGCTTTTTCCCATCCTTGTACCACGTCACCTCTGTCAGGGACTGGGCCACCTCGCAGCTCAGAGTGGTGCAGGCCACTGCCTGGGGCTTCCTCTCACTGTGTGCTGGCTACCCCTTGGCAAACACAGCCTTAAGCTCTGGGGATAGAGGGGAAGGACACACAGGTCAGGGACTCCAGAACACACCCTGCCCTGTCTCACAGCCTGAGCCTACCCCAGGGATGGCTGAGCAGAGTGTCCATCATGAGCAGAACATTGCATGGCCATGCCTAAGTTCTATCCTATGCATGACCCAAGCTGCAAACTCCAAGGCTGGTGGGTGAACAGCTGGGCAGCCTGTCCTCATCAGAGCCCTAAGCACTTCCTGATCTACCCTGATTCTGCAGGTAACTGCACTGTCACAGCCCACAAGGCCACCACAGCCAGGCCTACCTCCTGATGCCACCACTCTCCCAGCTGTTGGGAATAGACCATGACTCTTCTCCTCCCTGGGACCCCAGCCCATCAGTGACTTCCCAGCTCTCCCACCATTCAGGGAACACAAAGGCTGGTAGAGGCGGACACAGCAGGGAAGTCCACTTGAGCACCAAACCAGAAACCCACATCTTTGTTGGCAACAGCTACCAAAGGAATGCAGGAGACCAGATTGCCAATTCTGGCCAATCGGCAGAGATCTCAGAGCCTGTGAAAAAAATTAGCATAGAGCTCAGTACCCCTATGGGCCAGTCAGCAAAAAACTCAGTGCCAATGTGGACCAATCAAGACAGACCCCAGCACCAGGCAGGGGGGAGAGCCCAGCACAAATTAAGCCATCAAGAGAGAGGCTGTAAGCCCCATGTGGTCCCTTCCCAGGCTCAGGGGCAAGTCACAGTGGGTAGAAGGAGGAGATGGGGGAAGGACAGATGGACATGCAGGATGCCAAAGGGCCCAAGCAAGGGCTTCTGGAGCTCTGGGCCCAGCAAGTAGGCATGGCAAGGTAGAGGGAACCCCTGCACCTGCAGGACATGCTCCCCAGCCGCAAACAACCCCAGTGCCAAACTCCACCCAGAACTGGCCACAGATGGTGAGGTCCAAGGTCAACAAGGACACAGGCCTCACAGAGCCTAGGCTGCCACAGGTACCCAAGAGTTACCACCCTTCCTCCATTCACCCAACCCCAGCATCACCCACCTGTGACGTCCAGGCGGAAGGAGACCTTATGGCCTCTGGCCTCGCAGCTGTCCTCCCCATCATCTGCCTTGCCTGCCTGCTGCACCACCAGCTGCTGCCTGTAGCCAGAGGCCTCCACACGCACCTGGGAGCTCTGGCTCAGCTTCTTCCCATCCTTGTACCACATCACCTCTGTCTGGGCCTGGGCCACCTCATAGCTCAGAGTGGCACTCGCCCCCGCCTGGACCTTCACCTCGCTGCATGCCAGCTGCCCCTTGGCAAACACAGCCTTGGGCTCTGGGGATAGAGGGGAGGGACGCACAGATCAGGGACACAGTACTGATATCAACCCATCTGACAGGACTAAAGCTTCAAGCTCCGTGAACTGGGTCCTCAATGAAGAGATATCATGTGTCCACTCCCATCAGGCTTGTGTTCACCGAGCATTTTCTGTCTCAGAGGTCAACTTCTCATGTTGGCCATGTCCTGAGCCAAGCACGATCTGAAGCTGGAGGGAAGAGGCTGAACCGTCAACTCCCGGTCCCTGGTTCACTGTTTGCCTCGGGAGAGTGGCTGCATTGGCAGGTCCTGCCTATTCATTACCACACTCAAGACTGACACACCTTTGTCCTCTACAAACCAATGGTGCCTTTCACTTCAGTGTGAGCCCACATCAAAGTATTGGCTCCACGACCTCAGATGTTCCCATTTCCACCCAACCAGAACACACCAAATAACGTACCCAGGGGCCACCCACACACAGCAGAACGGGGGCAGCCGCTGCTCTGACCCCTGAAACATGCTGCCAGGGCCTGGCCTCTGGTTGTTCAAGGACCAAGTCAGTTGTGCATGTGTAGCGGCAGCACACATGATGGTCCCGTGGGACCTTGCGGCACCTCACTGACAGCCTTTCTCAGAGCAGGCCCACAGCTGATCATTCCTGGGTTGGTCTCCTTCCTCCAGCACAGAGTCTGTGAGAACAGCCACGTGGCCGCACAGGCATTGGTCTCTGTGCTGGGACAGAGTTGTGCTGCATAGCGCCTTGAGGGATTCCCTTACTCTTGGGGCTTGTTGGGGCTTTTTCCAGGATGTGGATACAATGAGGAAGGCTGCTGTGGATGTCCATAGCAGCACAGGATGTGCATGGCCTTAGGAGACCTCTCAAACAGGGCACCAAGTGGCACTCTCAGCAGTGCAGGCAGCTCCCGTCTCCAACCTCCCACAACCTCGAGGGTCTTTAATTGTGTACGTCCCACTCCAACTGAATTATATGCCCCCTCACAGCACTAGTTTCCATCCCTGTCCATTTCAGCATGTAAATATGCTGAAGAGAGTCCACCCAGTGGATGTGGTGTTCACTGTCTCACTGGTCTCCATGGCTACCATTTGTGGAGAACTCAGCCATAGACAACTGCAGACCTCAGCAGATGCTGCCCCAGTCAGACAGAAGGCTGTGCTCCCACAGCACTTTCAGAAGGGGAAGACAAAGGCAGATAAAGCATGGACACCAGGACACACTCTCCATGAGATCAGTGAGGGCGCCATGTTGGAGGAGGGGACTGAGCAGGAGGACACACTCTCCGTGAGATCAGTCAGGATGCCATGCAAGTAAAAAGACAAATATGGTAAGCAAAATTAGCCAATCATGAAGAACCAAAGGCCAAGGAGGAGAGGACTGAGCAGAAGGTCCCACCCTCTGTGAGATTGGTCAGGGCACCATGCTGGAGGAGGTGACTGAGCAGGAGGACACACTCTCCCTGAGATCAGTCAGGATGTGATGCTGGAGGAGGGGACAAAGCAGGAGGTCCCACACTCTGTGAAATTGGTCAGGGCGCCATGCTGGAGGAGGGGACTGAGCAGGAGGACACACTCTCTGTGAGATCAGACAGGATGCCATGCTGGAAGAGGAGACTGAGCAGGAGTTCCCACACTCGGTGAGATCAGTGAGTGCCCTAAATTCGAGGAGGAGACTGGTGATGCAGATGCAGAGCCAGGAAACACCATGGTCAGAGTGATATTTGGGGACCCTCAGCCCTGGTGAGTGCCAAGGATCATCCTGCAGCAACAGACATGGCATGAGCAG